ATAGTTTAAAACACTGATGGCTCTGATAATTAGAAAAATTGTGAATATTGGATACCCAGCTCGGCTGATAATCAGTCAATCCTTAATATCACAAATTCAAAAATGCCATTGTTTAAAAATATCATTATACTTAATATATGCAGATTGTTGCACTGAGAAGTATAAACAAAATGTATTGATAGTTTTAATCACCGACTGAGGCTGTGATTTTTTTTTTTTTAGAAAAATGATAAATCTGTAGTACAGCCTTAGGTATCATCTTTTATTTGCTTGTTTTGGGGGTAACAGCAGAAAAGTTCTAAGTTGAAGTAGCTTACATATATTTGTCAGAAATTATATTTGTAACATTGCTTTGCTGTGTGTGTCCGTCCTCTACTCTGCTGCTATTGTCATAAACACACAAGGAAAACAGTTTGATGCTGCTATTTTATTTATTTATTTTTTACATACACAAGATTTGTTTGTTTCAGATTTTTTTTCTCAGTTGACACACATTTCAAGTCCATAACTGTATCTATTTAATTACTATAATAAGCTACCGTTTCTCTGTTTTTATGGTTTTTACTCTGAGTTTGTAGCAACTGAGACGTCAAAGACTCTTCATCATCTCACAGCACATCAATGTCGATCAATTCAAAATGAATTAATATCACTTAATGTCTAACCTCTTCATCTCTTTCTGTTGGTCTGCCATGGATTAAAAAGTAACATCAGGCTGTTTGTCTTTCTTGTTTATGTTAACAGCAGTTCGGTTTGCGCAGAGCTGCTGCCTTCCACAGCCAGCAGCGGTGCTTATCACTGTGATTTATGACATGTAACCGATGAATGTGCTGTCATTAGTTGTATACCATACACTGCCATTCATCACCGCAGACTAATCAAGAAATGACCGAGAAATTCCTTCTCCTGCTCGCTGTTGTCATCTAAATCATGTGCACATGGGCAGAAAATTAACTCCGTTAATTTGATTTTGACTGTAAATTATTTTTATGCCATGAATCAGAAATTGTTCAATAATTACACGGATTGTTAAAGATAATTTTAGCACACAGTGATGGGGTTTCATACGGCCTAATCAAAGCCCTCACCATCACAGATTAAGGTTTTTTTGTGGCTCAGGACGAGCCCTAGAGGCTGAATATGTACGACAAAAAGATTAGTCCGTGTGCAGTGAAGGTGAGGAGTCTGTGTTCTGTGATTTGGCAGGAATCTGTGCATTTTCCTTTTATTTCTGACGACAGTCGTGACTCAATAACCCGACACTAAATGTAAAACCTTCTTTTATGTCGGATTGTCAAGACGGAGGTCAAGATGCAAGGAGGGCTTGATGCTGGAAGGATCATTAGTTGTTAATATTTATTGTTCATAGTTGTTATAATAACGAGTGTATTGTTAGAACACTACGTATCGCTGGATTTCAGCCTAACTGACTGGTGCACTTATGCACGGGCCCGTTGGTTGACATCAAAGGTAAATACGTTCAGACAGCAGGCAGAAGTGACCCAAATCCATTTTTTTTTCTCCTACGCGAACTGCATCTGTTCGTTTCATGACAGTCGGAACAACACAGATCCAATTAATGATGAATATCAGAATATTCGGCGTGGTTGGGGGACACTTCCACCCCGGGGGAGCGCTCTGACGGGGTGGAAGTAGCCAGAACACTCAGGCAGTACTAGTTTAGTTAGCGGTCACACTTCTGTTTCCACCATCAGTGGCGGAAGCAGGGTAGTGGCCGATACACTCCACCATTACCATCCTAGTTTACTTCCATAAACACTGAGCACGCTCGCTGCGTATGACGTCGTCGTGTCCTTTTCTGTGCATGCGGGACACTTTTGGGTCGTATGAAGTTCACACAGCAGATCACATACAAGTCGCATTTATTTGGAAATGCGAAGGAACTCGCAAAAAAAATCTGATTTCTCAAATCAGAATTGAGAATCAAGTCCTGCAGTGTGAACGTAGCCAATCTGTGGGATTGTTCAGTCAGATAATACGCCGTTATCCTGATTGGTGACATTAAATGTCATGTTGAAGGCTGTTTTTAATAGGGTTTCGTTTGTTTTTCCTAAAAACCTGTCGGATAACAAGGTTTTCGGATTGTTAAGGGTCGGATTAACGAGTCACGACTGTATTAGATAAACAAAATTGCCTGTGATGCTTTAATAAAAAAAGCACCAATTATATTTAAAAAAATTGTGTCATTTTTAAATTCTCAATGAACATTTGACATTTTGGCTGTGGTGATTTTTCTTTGGTGCTGAAAAACCCTGAGATTAACTTAAATATAAGTTTTGAAGTCTGTGGGCCGTGCTGTGCTCAACAACCACAACATAGTGATTTAAAATCTGTCAAAAAAACTCATCGACAGAACTTTTGGAAAAAGAAATTCTTCATTTTCTTGAAGGTAAATAAATACTTTATAACCCTATTTAAAGCTGAAACTGGCCTGTTTCATTACCTCGTGTTATGTTAAAGTTATTTTCACGGCACAGCAACAAAATCTTTAGGATAACTTAGATCCTCATATAGTTGTCACACTAGAATGTCGATGAAACACACCAGCGTTGAGTGAGTCTGGTTATTTCCAGGTCTTATCAGAGGAGACGTTGTGTGTTATGTGCTGTAGTTGTGATGTTGTTGGGTGAAGCAGCAGCCTGTTGAGGTAATCACCAGTATTTACAGTCTGCTCTGTGGCCCGAGGGCACTATAACACAACCAGCCGACATTTCAACACCACTCATGCACGGAGATTAAAATTAAGGGCTGCAGAGCTGAACTGCAGTATAAGTCACTGTGAAATGTACTCTCAGCTGATTTTTTTTTTCTCCTCCTGAAGATTGAATCTACCTGCAGTGTGTAAGCAGGTCACGTAAACGCTGAAACACTCTGGTGGATTAAATCCAAACAGAAAGTGGATGATGCAGGTTTGCTTTTTAATCAGTGTATGTCCCAACTCCTCATGTTGTTATCCCACAACAGGTGTGGAGGATGAACTCAGGCAATGGCACCAGGAGGAAAGTCAACAAGCAGCAGCAGCAGCAGCTTTTCAACAACATGGTGGCGTCTGACACCGAAACACTGGCCGAGATGCAAAGTCTTTTCAGTAAAGTCCGAACCTATGCGAGACCATCCAGTGGCGAGTGGACCATCCCCGACCAAAACATCGCTCTGAGACACCCGGCGGAGGAGCACTGCCGTCTGCAGGCGCTGAAGTTGTCACTGAACTCTGTGAAGAACGAGCTCAGCGACAAGAACGTACAGGTGTGGCATCAGCACACCAACTCCACCAACCGGGCCGGGAAGGTGATCGCTGCCGTACGTTCCGCCGCCAACGCAGAGATCTGCACTCAGGCCTGGTGCAAGTTCTACGAGATCCTGGGGTCCTTTAATCTTTTTCCAGAGGAGGCTCTTCAGAACGGAGAGCTGAACTCGGTCCACCTGTGCGAAGCTCCAGGGGCCTTTATAACTGCTCTGAACCACTACATCAAAACCAGCGAGTCCACACGGTACTGTGACTGGAGCTGGGCCGCCAACACCCTCAACCCGTACCATGAAGCCAATGGTGGAGGCACGACCATCGCAGATGATCGGCTGATCGCCAACACTCTGCCCTGGTGGTTCTTCGGCTCAGACAACACCGGCAACATCATGATTCAGGCACACTTGCTGGATCTGCAGGCTTTTGTGTCAAACATGCACAGAGTGGATTTGGTGACGGCCGATGGAAGTTTTGACTGTCAGGAGAACCCCGATGAGCAGGAGGCGCTGGTGGCGTCGCTGCATTACTGCGAGGTCACAGCTGCATTGCTGCTCCTGAGCCCAGGCGGCTCCTTCGTTCTGAAAATGTTCACCCTGTATGAACACTCCTCCGTCTGCCTGCTCTACCTGCTGAACTGCTGCTTCCAATCCGTCAACGTCTTCAAACCTGCCACCAGCAAGGCGGGAAACTCTGAGGTTTATGTTGTGTGTCTGAACTATGACGCCAAGGAGGCTGTGAGGCCTCTGCTGTCAAAACTGATTCGCAATTACGGGCCACATCTGGCTGACCGAGAGGCACTTTTCCCGAGTTCTGTCCTCCCAGAGTCGTTTCTGAAACAGCATGAAGAAGTGTGCTTCTACTTCCACACACTGCAGGTGGAGACGATCACAGAAAACCTGCGACTGTTTGAAGAAATGAGCACAGAGCAGCGGCAGCAGCTCGACCACATCAGGGACTGCGTGGCTCACGAATACCTGCAGCGCTTCCAGGTAGGATGTTTTCAGAACATGATGACTAAATAACTGAGATGACAAAAACACAAAGATCCATTTAGAAGCTGTTCTGGAGTTTCCAGCCATGTCACATGTAAGTAGGGAACAGATTGAGGTTAAACTGTAGTTTGTAGTTTTTTAAGGACATTTTGTCTTTGAGCCCAAAGCCTGAACTTAAAATGTAGAAGTCATGGAGGTACCTGCTAAACATCAGTGTGTCAGCACCGTCATTGTGAGCTCCTTAGCATGTGGATGCTAGCAGGCAGCTTAAAGCATGGCTGTGAATGGAAGTACAGTCTCGCAGGCCATTAGCATGGCTGCAGACTCTTTATCAACTGTGACATGAGGTTTGCATTTTAAAATGAGATTTCTTTAGAAACCTGAACATTTGTATATACAACAAGAAATATGAACGCAAGAAAGAAGAGAGGAAAAAAAGAAAAGCCCTTTGTGGATTCAAAAATTTGTACCTTACCTGAGCTGAACTCTGACCCACAGAAACATCACCGTATAAAAACCTATTATTGCTATTATTATCTATTCATCACAGAAAAGAGGAATTCATTATATTCTCTGGCAGATGTCAGAAATGTTCCCAAACATAGAGGCTCAGTCACATGGTTATCCCTACATCTGAACTGCTCAAAAAATTAAAAGCACAATAAGTCATGTGGTAAATCTGTTAATAATATGTTGTGCTTTAATTACCTGCTCGTCAACAGTAGCTTCACTGCTGCAAAGGTAAATCTTTCACAAAGTTCAAACAAGCCTGAGCAGAAAATTTGTTAAACAGATCAACAATACAATCGTGTTTCTTTTCTCAGAGTTTTGTTGGGCCAATTCAGCCTTTTTTTTTTTTTAAGGAGTCAAAACTGCAACCACATATTCAAGCACATCACTAAATTAGTTCTACCTGTCATTTATTAAAAGACTTTTGAAAAATGTCTTCCACATTTTCTACATTTAATCCAGCCCTGAAACTGGAACATATATTTCAGCCTACTATCGTACAATTTCTGCCTTTATCAAGTTGTTTACAATCTAAATCTCTTCAGTTTGTAATTATATGAAAGACAAATGCAGCATGTACAAGGCTGTAGCTACTCAGTGTGTGTTCTGTTGTAATTTAATAATTGTCAAGATGCCGATCAGGTTAGTTATTTATCAACAACTTCATTAATGTCCTGAATCTATACAAAACGTAAAATCTGTGATTCCTCCTCGGTAGGATGCAGTAGGATCAGTAGTTCTGTTGTGTCAGACTGTTAACTAAGCAGCAAGAATCTCAAATGAATTCATTTTAAATGTTAACGTTCCCTTTGGAGGCACTGGATGCTCTGATCTGTGTTTTGTGCTTATTTAAATCCAAACATTGTTCTCATTGGAGCTGAAGACGAGCTTTCAAATGTCTAAGTCTGATCTTGATCAAGTGTTTCTGTGTGTAGGTGAGCTTCCTCCCGCGGAGCAGGTGGATCTCTCGTAACACGGTGAGTCCCGCCTGCTGCAGCGTGTCAGCTGGTCGACCGCTGGGACAGAAGAAGCAAATAGGCTCCTTCAACGAGCGCAGGGAGTTGCAGACCCTGAGCTGGAGGCAGCGTATTGAGAGGGGTTGCCATGCCAGCTGGATACAGAGACACTGCACTGAGGACGGCGGGGCGGGAGGCATCCTGGAGGGACCGTTGTCCAAGTGCCACGTGGACTCATGGTATGTGATTGTTGGGGCTGCACTGCCTGCAGTCAGAAACTCCCCGTTCTGTGAAGGAGGACTGTTAAACCACTTGAATGAAGCCGTGATGGACACAGCTGTAGACTGGACCCGTGTTCCTCCCTGTCACTCCTGCCATGTGGCTTGTGCGGCCTCCATCCTGTCCGAGGTGGCAGGTCTTTGCGCCTTTAGTGTGGGGAACAAAAAGAAGAAACAGTGCCTGGTGTTTGGCTGCCACTCAGTGTGGGGTGCTTGTGAGAGCCAAATTGGGGATTTAGTCTTAACATTTTCTGCAGAGCCTTCATTTCCTCCAAGAGGCTGCATGTCGCTGCACGACGGGGAGCCGCTGTACCAGCAGCAGCTCGTAGCTTGTGTCCTGTTTTCCCTGCAGACCCTGAGCTCCGGAGATGCGCTGCTGCTGCCGGTGTTCTCCGCCCTCACTCGTGTCACCGCAGCTGTTGTGCTCTGCCTGCACGCATGTTTTCGCTCAGTCTCGTTCAGGTGCCCGCCCCCCTCCGCCGCGGTCGGGATGCTGCTTGTGTGCGTTGACTTCTGCCCCGAAGCCGCTGCCCGAATGCTGCCAGTTCTCACTGACGTCCAGAACTGCATGAGTCAGCTGTTAAACGGGGGAGAGGACACGGGTAAAAGTCAGCCTGCTGGAGGTGACAGACAGGTGCTGCAGTTTGTTCCCATGGAGGAGCTGCTCACTGGAGGACTGACTGAGTTCCTGTGGACCATGAACTCTGAAATCATCCAGCGGAAGCTGCATCTGCTCATGCAGTCGTAGTGTAGTTTAGTGAGCTTTCACTCTGGGATTCGTGCTGTCGCTTCAGAAGCTGTTACAGTCTGTTTTGTTCTTGTTGAAGCAGCAGACTGCTCAGCTGTGTGAGCTTCCAGCAGTTAGTCATTGAATCATGTTTGCATGCTGATACCTACAGAGCACTCATGTGATTGAACATTACACTCCGACAGCGTTGTCTGACTCTCAGTGGACGGATTGAAACATGTTAACGCTGAACTAGCAGGACCAGAGAGATCCTCTCTTCTGTGCTTGTGAAAACCTGGTGCCTACGTTACCCACAGTTCAACTTGACCTTGGAATTAAGCTTCTGTTTGACTCCACACTTCCAGATATCTTCCATTTTTTGCGTTGCAGTCTTGAGGAGTAATGCTGCCTGTTGGAGGACATTCATCAGAATTCACTCGCATGCTTTGAAGCCGCAAAAGACTTCATAGAGCTGCTGGCACATTTTCACTTATTACACATATATTGGTATAAATGTATGCCTTAAATGATTAGTTACAAGAAACAGAACAGAAGCACGAATGATGCTGTCATTGTATGGTGTGTTTGAATTCATCAGTGAGTTTATTTCTCATCTGTAAACTGTTCACTACATTTATCAGACAGTTATTTACTGCCCAAATTGAACAGATCTTTTTTCAGAGAGTGTTTTTATTTGATGTGCTTATAATAAACTTTACAAATAGCAGCTGATCAGCTGTTATCAGACCAACCTTAAGGTGAAAATATCTTATTTAGATATACATACTTTTCTAAAGCCCAGCCCACAGTGGAATCAATGCTGATATTGATTTATTTCAGTTAAAAAGAAACAATCCAATAATAATGATTTGTTGTCATTGACTTGCATTTGGTTATTAAATACGAGGGCCTATTCGTTAATGCACTAAGCAGGGCATTTTAGAGTTAAAAAATACACTTTTCAGTGTCATGTGGCTCCACAAGAAGCTGAAACCATCAGTCTACCGTTTTAACACATCAGCCGGGCACGAATGCAGATGTCCAGCCCACGATGTTGAATAAATTCAGCCTCACTTCATCGGTTAAATCTCACCATGACTTCAGTTCAAATTGTTGTAGTTTGTGTTTCACCTCCAACAACATGTCAGTCTGTTGTGTACACAGCCACTGAAGACCTGCAGGCGAGACCAAAACTGTGAAGATACAAACTTGCAAAGCATGAAAAAGCAAATTACTTTCAGTAGCTGATCAACAGAGCTCATCCGTGAGTAAATTCACTGAGGATTTTAGGGAGGCTGAACAAACAGGAGTCCACCCTCAGCCGCAAACATCACAGAGAGTCTGGACTCTACCCCCAAGTGCCTGCTGTCTTTCATCACATGATTTCATCCCAGGATGTTCGGGATTTTTCCATCTTTTCGCCATCGTGCAGCTTGTAGCCAAATTAGTCATTTCTCTGTTTGTGTCCAGTGATATCAAACTTTCTATCCTCATATCGAAGGACATTAAAATGTTTTATAGGTCATGATCTGCTCAGCTCGAGAGGTGTTTTTAGTTTTTTCATTTGTTGATTCTGTTGTCAGTATAATTTAATGTAGTTTATTTTCTTACAAAAATAATAAAAGTGTGCACTGATGAATGGTGTGACATCTAATCTCTGTGGCTCATGAGGCTGCTGAAGTGTCTGTGAAAGCAACAATATCTGCCCTCTGCAGAAAATTTGTTTCTTTAAAATGTTTTTTGAAAACCCCACAGAGAAGTTCTCTCTAAATCCTCTCTAAAACAAGCACAATGTGCTGCAGTGAAAGAAAAAAAAAAAACAGGCTTAAAACAAGCTTGTCACTTTGCCTGAACTTCTGTACACATCCTCAAATACCGTTTCAGAAACAAAATAAGTATGCAGGCCTGATAGCGGCACTGTGAGGGTGTAATGTTCACCACAGTCCGGAAAACTAACTTGAGACGTGGATGGAAGCTCGAGTGACGACTTTGCAATTCTTAGGTCTTTGACAGATTAGAGAAAACCTGGACGTCCACTAATATTCATGCAGGTGCAGCAGAGAGGAGAGCAATAAAATGCAGTGAGAACATGCAGCTGATTGAAAAATATGCTGATGAAGCAAAGGTTGCATTTAGATGTTTACCGATTTAGACACAAAGTGCGGTTGACCCTGGCTGTTTAAGGCTCCAAACATCCATCCATCCATCATCTATACACCTTAATCCTCACTAGGGTCATGGGGGGGCTGGAGTCTATCTCAGCTGACTCAGGGTGAAGGCAGGTTCACCTGGACAGGTAACCAGTCTATCACAGGGCTACACTTAGAGACAGACAACCAAGCACACTCACATTCACACCTACGGACAATTTAGAATCACCAATTAACCTCAACATGTTTTTGGACTTTGTGGGATGAAACCTGGAGAGAACCCACGCTGCACGGGGAGAACATGCAAACTCCACGCAGAAAGATCCAGGTGTCCTCACTGGGCGACCTTCTAGCTGCGAGGCAACGATGCTAACCACCGCTCCACCTTGCAGCCCGGCTCCAAACAAGTTTTTGTTAACTGTGAGATTTAAATGATGAATGCAAAGCTGTTTCTTGGAGCCTGAAGTTTGCGGTTGTCATCATGTTAAAAGTGGTAATCCTACAGTTTGGCTCTGACACAAACTCTTGTTGCCATATTATCCCAGATCTCCTCAAACCGCTGTCTCCTAATTGTTCGCTTTACTCAGCTCCACTTCCAACGCAATCAGTTGTGTCATGTAGTGTGATATGATCAGTGCCCCCCACACAGAGCTAATACGCCACTAGATTACCCAGAATCCTCCAGTATCTGAATGAGGAGAAGAAGCTGGACTTAGTGGAGACAGAATCTGAGGCACATGTTCCCCTCCATCTCCTGCTAATGGAAACCTGATCAGATGCTGCAGTAGGTTTAATTCAGAAGTCAAAGACAGAAAAAGAAGAAAATCATTCAAACCACATCAACAATAACAGCCGATAAAAATCTACAATCTGCCTCTAGAGCTGGAGGAAATAAATCTGTAGACTGAACAGCTCTACGTCCAATCTGAAATTAATGCAAATAATTTAGATTAATTCTCTTTTGAGCTGCACTATGGCTGTACTTGTTCTCCTGTTTACGCATGTTTGGCTTAAATATGTGTATATGTTTTTAATTAGTGTCGGTCAAAATACCGAAAGAGAATCTGAGTAAAACACAGAACAAACCTTCAGCTTTGCATGTGGGGGGGAAAAAAAGAGGGATGAATGTTTAATCTGGTCGAGCCTGATAGACTGTAGGTCAGTATTATGGATCAAACCATTAAAAAAGCACCGGTGTCACTGGAAACGCGGCAAATTTCATCTATAGGGATTTTCATTAGTCAATTTAATACCTCTGAAGTTTGACATTGTGGATTACAGTTGAAAGCTGGATCAGAAAGCAAATCAGCAAGTCATATCCCACTAATCTTTCTCGCCGTTTGACCGACTCCAGCGACACCACCGCCCACACAAACATTACAAATCAGACGGATTGGTATAAATTTATGATTTAGGACATTTTTTTTCTCCCCCTCTCTTTATTCTTTATCTGAGCGGTTGGAAGAAGGAGCAGTTGATGATTGTGTGGCTTCAAAATGAACGTTTAGTTAATAAATGTGTGCGTGCAGGCTGGTTTTGCTTTCAATTTTGACTCGGAGCGCTTGTTGTGAGGACATTTTGCTTCCCGTGACTTTAAAGAGCCGTTTGAGGGGGACGACTTAGGGTTGAGGTTAGAACTGTGTTGGAGTTTGACGTTTAATTGTGATGGTTAAAGTTAGGACAAGTTAGGGATGCATGATGTCAATGAGAGTCCTTACGAAGATGTGTGTGTTTGTGTGTGTGTGTGTGTGTGTGTGTGTGTGAGAGAGAGAGAGAGAGAGAGAGAGAGAGAGAGATTGGGTTGTATTGGACTGTGTGATTATAATCCTCCCTCAGTGTAATATTCTTCTGTCCTTTCCAAATATTACACACACACTCAGACACTCCAAACCATTGTGTGTGTGTGTGTGTGTGTGTGTGTGTGTGTGTGTGTGTGTGTGTAGCTGACACTGACCACAGTCCAATCTGTGCGGATAAAGTGATCAGAGGGTGAACTTTGCCTTGAACTGAACTGAATCTGAACTTTTTTAAGGTCAGTCGAATCAAAATCAATTTCTAACTGAATTAACTAATCATTGCCTCCAAAACGCATTTTATGAAGGCGAGCTGAATGTTTCAATCCTGAATATACAAACAAACAGAAAACGCAGCGACTGATGTGTTTTTGTCATTACAACAAAGCCAAAGTTTAGATTTACCACACATTCAAGGATAATGACATTCATGATGGCCTCGGTGTAAAAGCAGCAAGATGCTGCTCAGCTCGACGTCAGCAGAGTCTCTGATGTGAGCGTTGTGTTGATTCTCTGAGTGTCTTTGTGTTTAAGTGGCTGCTGAATGGAGACCAGCTCCTCCGTCTGCAGAGTAAAGATGCTGACAGATCAGGTGAAGTGAAACTCTCATTATGCAACAAAAACAAGGCGGCAGGAATGAACTGGTGAGGAGGAGGAGGAGGAGGAGGAGGAGGAGGAGGGCTGTGTTTCTCCTCAGAGCAGGATGTGTTCATCAGAGGAAATCAGCTCAGTCACTCAGTTGTCTCTTTTTGATTTCGCTTAAAGACAAGTCTGCTCGTTAGTCTCACTTTGTAACTGCAATCGACAAAATGTGAGGAAAAAATAAAACAGGTTGCAGGAAAAAAATGAATTAACATTCCTGAAAACCTCTTTAGCAAAACCAAATGACTGCAGTCGTGAGTCGATAATCGGACCCTTAACAATCCTAAACCTTGCTGTCCAATGGATTTTTAGGAGAAATGCACGGAACCCATAGAAACCAGCCTTAACATACCGACAGCCTTGGATTGTGACTCCAACATGACATTTTATGTCACCAATCAGGATAACGGCGTATTATCTGACTGAACGATCCCACAGATTGGCTACGTTCACACTGCAGGACTTCATGCTCAATTTGGATTTCTTTGTGACTTCCTTCACGTTTCCAGTTCAATGCGACTTGTATGTGAGCTGCTGTGTGAACTTCATACGACCCAAAAGTGTCCCGCATGCGCAGAAGAGGACACGACGACGTCACACGCAGCGAGCGTGCTCAGTGTTTATGGAAGTAAACATGGATGGTGGCACCATCACTGCTACCAATGGTGGAAACAGAAGTGTGAGCGCTAACTAAACCAGCATCAGCAGCCAAGTACTGCCTGTGTGTTCCGGCCACTTCCACCCCGTCAGAGCGCTGCCCCGGGGTGGAAGTGTCCCCCGAATATTCTGATATTCATCATTAATTGGGCCTGAATATCCAGAGACCAGAAAGTGCTATTGGGACCAGCCCTACTAGTTATTATAACAACTATGAACAATAAATATTAACAACAAATGAGCCTTCCAGCAACAAGCCCTCCTTGTATCTGGACCTCCGTCTTGACAATCTGACAGCCTTGCTATCCGACATGAAAGAAGGTTTTACATTTACAGTCGGATTATCGAGTCACGACTGTAGTGAACTCATGTTTTATTCTGTCCATTAGTTCCTTTATCCTGTCAGGTGTCTTTGCGGTGCACTGGATGTTGATCTGTTGCAGGTTTCACATGGCAAATGTGGGTTTTTACCTTCAGGTCGAGTTGTTTCTCAGGTCATTGTTATTGAGTTTGGAGTCAACTAATAAAGGAAAAGTTGGACAATATCTGGGAAATACTCTAGACAAGACAAGATGAAAACCAGCACAATGGTTGTACAGTTGTAGAGAAACAGACTTACTCCAGCACCTCAGAAACTCAACTTTATATCTTGTTTCTTTAACGCATATAAAAGTATAAAAATGATGATTTGGGTGTTGAGTGCCAGACTATTTCTCGGCCCGTTAAATCCCGCTCTTCACTGGCTGCCTTTAAAGACTTCTGGAGGCGACTGTGAGGTGCAGGACTCCACATCAAACTCTCAGCAAGAAAGCAATCCTGCACGTCCCGGCACGACTGTCGTTGCAGGTAAAAGAGTTCTGATTAAAAACTAAAAACACTCCATTTACTAAAGACTCTCCTGGTTTGTCAGGTCACACCTGTCTTGTTTGACGAAGCGGCTACATCCAACAACATCACTTCAGTGAACACATTCGCCTTCATGTTTTCTGGTCAGTTGATGAGACTGTCAGCGTTGAAGCAGCTGCTTTGCCAGATGCTGCGTCATCTCTGCAGTGCGATACAGAGAAGAAGAGGCGCTTACAGTGAGTCTTACTCTTGCCTGTCTGCAGCTCCAGACTGAAATAACTCAACACCTACTCGAGAATAGATCCTAATGCCTTCAGTCACCTCTAGCACCATCATATACAGCATTTACATTTGTAGTTTGGAGTGACATCTTTGGAACTTTTGCACCGACATCAGAAATAATTTGTTCTCTGGTTTGGTCTAAAAATGAATGACTAGTCCTCATCACATCACCAACCTCTGTATGTAGAGGATGATTCTTCATGTTCTTCCTGTGGTTCTTTAAAGCACTGAAGGTTATTGATTTTTATTCTAGCTTTTTGGTGGCATATAA